TCCGAACCTCAGCCTTCTCCCGTCTGAGGGACAGCGAGGGCCTAAGCCCAGCCGTGCCCTTCCTGCAGCCGCTCCTGCCTTTAGCCTTTAAGAACTGGGGTGACCCAACCTGGTGGTCGGACACTGTCCTTGAGCTGCCCACCCCAGAACATCTCGGGAACAGGGTACGTTTTTATTTAAACCACTTTTGCCAAGTCAGAGAGACATCGGTGAGGGCTCTTACTGTGGAGATGTGCTTCTGGGTCTCTCGCACGCGCCGCATTTCGGGCGTGTCCAGCACGTACGCAGCTTTGCCTTGCACTTGTTTTCGAAAACTATCCGAATAAAGAACCTGCCAGAGGAGAAGGAGGACGTGAGCACGGGAGACAGAACTGCTTCTGCATCAGGAGTGAGCGGTGCTGAAGCAGCCCGGCAAAGAAGGGGAGGGGAGGGATAAACAGCAGGAGCCGTGTTGGTGAATAACATCAGAAGGCGAAGCAAAGTTCTTTTTCATAGTTCTGCGGGGCACGGACAGCTCTGGACTCGACCCCAAACCTCCCTTTCCTTAACTAAAACATCTTTATCTTTTTTAACCTTGTAACAACAGGCAGAGGTAAGGCAGTAGTCGTGTTCTAGGTGGTACTTTCATCCATTTGACATGCACCTTCACTGACTTCAGTGAAGTTGTTAGTGTGGAACGGACAACGCAATTAGACCTGTATTTAGCATTTAAATACAACCATTTTTGCTGGGTTTGTAGGGTTTCTTTTTTGAGAGACAACAGTTGCATCGTGATTCTGTACACACTCGGTTGCAGCTGCCGGATTTATTGCTCCAGGTCAGGTTGGACGGGGCTCTGAGCCGCCTGCTGTAGCTAAAGCTGGCCCTGCTCACCGCACTAGGTGGCCTCTGAACGTCCCTTCCGACCCAAACTCTCCTGTGATTCCCTGATCTGTGCTGTACACAAACATTTACAGGATGGGGCATGTCAGGATTTACCGCCGGAGCAAACAGGTTAGCAAAGGGCCTAACGAAAAGACGGGCATTTCCAGATTTGCCCTGCCTTTATATAGAATGGCAGAAAAACAGCATAAAATATACAGCGATCATTCCTCAGGAACAGTACGTGTCACGCAGTACCAGAGCGGTAAAACCAAGAGATTTGCAAGAGCCTTGAAGGCATCAGAAGTTATGTGAAATTCGACTGTTGTTTAAAAAAAAAAAAAAACAAACAAACTAAGGTAATCACACAGAAATACTCAATTGCAGCAGAAAGTAAAAAGCGAGTGTTAAAGGATTTGATTTTAACACAGTTGCTTCATTCTTCCAAAGCGGGCAGCGAACATCCGCACTGTCAGTTTGAGTGAGGATTGCAGGGACTGAAACGTTACTTTTTAATGTATTTCCATTATTTGGCTGGCTAGAACGTACCGAGCTGATGTTCTCCTGATTGCGCTTAGCCCTCTCCATCTCGGGAGTCATCGGCGTGGGAGTTCCTTTGGCCAGATGCTCCTTGTACAAAACCTACGGCGTACGAAAGGGTTAAGACCGGGTCAACTCATCGCTGGTTCTGTGCGTGGGGGTACTGTTCAAGCACACTCATCACTGCAGGGGTGGAAAAGATCTTGGGAAATAAAGCATCTAACAGGTTATTTGCTAGAGGAGAAGGTGAAAAACCAAAGGGGAAAAATAGGCAAAAATAAGGAAAACTGGGAAAATAAGGCTAAATTAGAAGCGGAGTTTTTGCTCAGAAGGGTTATTTTTAATAGAAGGTGGCTGTGTCTCTGCTTTCAGTACCGAGCTAATGTGTTCTTGATTGCGTTTGACTCTCTCCATCTCTGGAGTGACCGGAGTGGGGGTTGCCTTCCCTAAGCCTTCTTTGTACACAACCTACAGGTCACAGAGCAACTCAAAGTCACAGATGTACAGATTAAAAACTCAAATGTTACTGGTTTTAGAGTAAACACCATCCATTATGAAAGAAAAAGAAGGTGAGAGCAAAAATAGTATTAAAAAGTTAATTGACAAAAAAAAAAAAAAATATCTTTTAAGTACTACGGTTTTAACAGATGACTTGCTAACTTTGAGAGAAAAAATTAGAGGGTTAAATAAAACCAGGCAGACGTAAGTTATTTTTAAAAAGGTGCTCTACTGCATCCCCTTCACTTGTTCCAGACAATACCGAGCTAATGTGTTCTTGATTGCGTTTGACTCTCTCCATCTCTGGAGTGATTGGTGTGGGGGTCGCTCGCCCCAAGTTTTCTTTGTACAACACCTGTGGGATACAGAAGTATCCGGTATCTTAAAACCTTCCCCAAAAATCACAAGGATTCGAACACAAATTATTACTTTGTTATTGAATTTCAAATAAAAAGAAGTCGCTACTGATTACGATACGCGGCACTGCACAAAAGCCAAACATCCGTAAGGAAGGGTAAGAAAATACACTGTGGAAGAAAAGCTTGTTATTTTTCTGGTTAACAGAGAGGGGCTCTATCCAGCTCCAGCTATCACGCTGGCTCCGTAGGCTTGGGGAAGCTGCCTGCGGCCCTGGAGAACGGTTTGAGAAATGTTTCCTCTGTGTTTGAAGCAATTTGGGACCTTTTGGGGAAGGAGGAGGGAGTTTTGTTGCCCCTCCGGGCCGCCGAATGCAGGAGGGAGTCGAGCCTGGTGTCGCTGCGCCGTGACGCCGACACGTCTCCCCAGGCCCCGAGGCC